CAGGATGGTTGGGGAAAAAACTGTCAGGTTGGGTGGTCTGTCGTTTTTTAGTGGGTCCCCCCCCTCTCCCAGGCCTCAGGGCCATGGTCCTGAATGTGATTGAAACAATCCGTGCCCCTCCATGTGATTGTAGTTAATCACGTGCGGCTCAAGGCGCTGAAAGTGATTGCAAAAATCAGTGCCCCCCCAATGTGAAGGCTTTTTTTATATAAAAGATTTCGCCCCTCATACATGAAATCTGGCCCAGGGCCCTGAATGTGATTGACACAACCAGTAACCCTCAATGTAATTGTTTTAGTCACATTCGGACCCGGGCCCTGAATGTGTTTGAAACAATCAGTACCCCTCAGTGTGATTGAGGGCCATCTATGAAAACAATCACATTGAGGGGCACTGAATGTTTTATTCACATTAGGCCCAGGGCCCTGAGGCCTTGGGGGGGGGCAAAAAAAAAATTAACTTGGCGAAGGACCCAACCATATGCAGTTGTGAATACCGCAATTGTGAATACCATCTTCGCCCGCGCTCCCTATGTGGCCACGGCTTCCCGCCGGAACCCGACATTTTCAGGGACACGTTCGTGGCCGTCTTCGAGGGCGCCGACGACGACAAGGACGGCGTCCCTCTCACCGAGGAGCAAAAGCAGGAGAGGGCCTTGAGAGCCATGAGGGAGGAGGTGGCGTTGCACGCCGACAAGGCGGAGTACGACGCCCAGGCGCGGTTGTTGAAGCAGCACAACTATGGGGCCACGATCCTCGTGAGGGATGTGCCGCGGTGGCCCGGGGCCGCCATGCGAGCCCTTCCACGGGCGCCTTCGGTGGAACTCCCTATGGGGCCACGATCCTCGTGAGGGGTGTGCCGAAATGGCCCGAGGCCGCCGTGCGAACGCTGCCACTGGGGCCTTCGGTGGAGCTCCCTATGGGGCCACGATCCTCGTGAGGGGTGTGCCGAAATGGCCCGAAGCCGCCGCGCGAACGCTGCCACTGGGGCCTTCGGTGGAGCTCCCTATGGGGCCACGATCCTCGTGAGGGGTGTGCTGAAAAAGTGGCCCGAGGCCGCCATGCGAACGCTGCCGCTGGGGCCTTCGGTGGAGCTCCTATGGGGCCACGATCCTCGTGGAAGATGTGCCGAAATGGCCCGAGGCCGCCATGCGAACGCTGCCACTGGGGCCTTCGGTGGAGCTCCCTACGGGGCCACGATCCTCGTGAGGGGTGTGCCGAAATGGCCCGAGGCCGCCATGCGAACGCTGCCACTGGGGCCTTCGGTGGAGCTCCCTATGGGGTCACGATCCTCGTGAGGGGTGTGCCGAAATGGCCCGGGGCCGCCGTGCGAACGCTGCCACTGGGGCCTTCGGTGGAGCTCCCTATGGGGCCACGATCCTCGTGAGGGGTGTGCCGAAATGGCCCGAGGCCGCCGTGCGAACGCTTCCACTGGGGCCTTCGGTGGAGCTCCCTACCGCCACTCGAGAATCCCCCGTTCTCCAGCTCCGCCGGTGCCCGACGAGCCGTCGTTATCCAGCGAGCTCGTGCCCAATCGTGCTTCCGCTACCAAGCCTGTCCCGCTCAGCAGGCGCGGCCCTGTCACCGACCTCGGGTCTGGAACCGCCGGTCCTGCGGGTTGACTCCTCCGGCAGCCCCGAGGCTGCCGACAAGCCCTGCAGCCCCACCTCTGAAGGGGCCCAAGGACACACAAATAAATACACACAAATAAAATAATTCCCAATGTTTTCTAATATTTTCTGGTTTTCTGTCTTCCCGCCCACTTCCCATATTTTCCCATATTTTCTTGGAAATCGAGGATTAATTGTGTCTGTGTGTTTCTTTTCTTCCTGAACCTCACCCGTCGGTGGTCCAGGCGCCCCCCCAGTACTGGCCGGGCAAGACGGCAGAAACCTCGCGCGATTCTCAGAGCGAGGAGCCCCGCCTTCCCCTGGCATCCCCCGGCAACCGCGAGCTGCCAATGCGACGCGGGATGAGTTCGACTGGGGCGAGGGGTGGCGCGAGCGACGCCCGCGGCGGCATCGCGAGGCCAGCCGCAGCAGCCCCTGCAGCGGCCATTGGACAGATTGGGGAGGGTGGTCCAGCTGGGAGGCCGACGACCGCTGGAGTCGGCCCGCGCGTACACACACATTCATATTCACATTCACATTCACATTCACATTCACATTCACATTCACATTCGCATTCACATTCGCATTCACATTCGCATTCGCATTCGCATTCACATTCACATTCACATTCACATTCACATTCACATTCACATTCACATTCACATTCACATTCACACGCACACCCACACCCACACCCACACCCACACCCACACCCACACCCACACCCACACCCACACCCACACACACACACACCCACACACCCACACACCCACACACCCACACACCCACACACCCACACACCCACACACCCACACACCCACACACCCACACACACACCACACACACAACACACAACACACACACACAACACACAACACACAACACACAACACACAACACACAACACACAACACACAACACAAAACACAGAA